CGCTTAAACGGTCTCACTCGAACTCAATTTTCTCTCATGTATATTCTGTTTGTTTTTGTGTTGCCTTGCAATCAAATATCAGATAATTTCTTTTTTGTGAAATAATGTAAACCTTATCAGTGGAAAGTTTTCTATTGAAATATTACGTAAAAACATGGTACAAGACATATCATCTATGATGTAAGATGAGCAAAGTTCACTAGAACTTTTTTGTGAATAGTATGCATGTTTTCTACGCTCAATACATCATAGTACCTACGATGAGAAATAAGATCAGCCCCCCTCCCCCCTCAGAAAATTCCTGTCTACGCCAGTGGATAGAATTCATCCATTTTGCAAGTGACATATAGTTGCACACTTATAATATATTGAACTCACGAAGAAAAAGCGTTCAAAACACCTCTCTTATTTGTAATGAAACAGTAGTTCTAAAATGTGCTATAATTTTATTTCAGTATATTTTCAACTAATTAGGAACCGTTTTCGACTTTGAACTTTATCCAAAAGTTAGATTCGATGATTTCTCAAGGAGCTGTGAGCTCATGTTTTTCTAGATTTACAACTTCGTAATACAAAGTGAACATCGATTCAACAGTTTTCCTCATTAAATATGTAGCATTGTATTGAATTTTCTTGGTCTTTTTTTAATCTCGATCACATGTACAAACATTTTAGCAAGCATTCAGTCTTTCTCTAACCGATTTCATTAAACCTGATTTGATTGATTCAATATTTTTAATTGAATACAATTGACTATTTAATGTATCCCCTGCTGAGGAAACAACACTGCACATCAACGATGTGAGTTCTCGAATTGATCTACAGTTAGTTAAATTATTTAAATCTGCTAACGATCAATTTACAGCAGTAATCGATTCAAAAATCATCAGCTATATTTTTATTGACTTTTTTGAAGGTATAAGTGTGGATGTTCTGTCTGTGTGTCGTTGTTGTGGGTGTGCTGTGGCTGTGGATATCGGTGGTGGTGAGCCCTAGATGTGAAGACATGTACAACAGCATCCAGAAGTTTTATTTTATTTATATACCCTTACCGTTACCAGTGTGGGGTGAGAAACATAATACAAAAAAATAGTAAAAAAGAAAAAAGAACAAAAAAAGTAAGAGAGTCTATTGTCTATTTTTCGACGAACACCACGTTGATTGCCGCTAGAATTGAAAAAAGATATTATCAGTCTATTACCCTCTGATGAACAGTTTAGATAATAGACATCATACGAATCTCAATTCAATTATAGTAGTTGAAAAGCCATCAATTTGTCTATTTAATCCTATTTCTTTTGCACCACACTTTTGCTGCCACGCATGATTTGACGTGATTTGTAATTCCCTGTGGCTTAAAACTTAGTGTGCAGCCAGGACATCTATATTGTTTGTTCTCTTTAACCAATATTTCTGTGACTTTACGTTTTATTGAGTCTGTCAATACAGCTAGATCTGTTTTTCTTCTCTGAGCTGATTGTTTTTTATATTGATACACAATATCTTTAATGTTTGCAGAAACTGGTTTTACATAAACATTCTTATTAATTGTTTCACGCCATTTTTTCCTGTCAAGTGTTAACCTGCGCCAGTTCTGTATTTGTAATTCATTTATGTCTTTTAGAATTTTGTCCTCCCACTGTTTGGATCTTCCTATATTACTAGGTCTCTTTTCATCATGAAAATATGAAAACATCACTTTTTTTATTAATGATGGTGAACCGTTCGGGTTAGTAGTGCGGTTAACGTGCCCAAACCATCTTAGTCTGTTTCTACGCATAATATTTTCAATTGATGGTTGACCTGTAATGTCTAACAATGTTTCATTAGACATTCTATCACCTAAGTTTACTCCTATGATTGTCCGTAAACATTTATTATAGAAAGTAGTTATTCGTTGTTCTTGTTTTAAAGTAAGAGCCCATGTTTCACTACCGTATAGTAAAACTGGTATTACACAAGCTCTAAAAATTCGAAGTTTTGCTGTGATAGAGACTGATTTTCTATGCCATATGACATGGCGTAGTGAATTAAAAGCTTTAGAAGCTTTTGTTAGTCTTACAGATATTTCTGTGTCATGTCGCTGATCTTTCGTTATAGTGCAACCTAAATATGTAAAAGAGTCAGCTGTTTCGATTTTTTGATTTCTAATATTTATATTTATATCGTCATCATAGTTGATAACTTGTCCTTTTAATACCTTTCTATGTTGACCTTCTTTTAGTTGTTGTAGTGACATCACACAGGTTTTTTTTATGTTCATAGTCAAACCATATTGTTGTGTTACTTTTTCAAAACAACTAATGAATTTTTCTAGATCAGAGATCTTTTCACACATTACAAGTAGGTCATCTGCATATAATAATGCCAAAATGTCAAATTCATCATGGTTTTCGTTTTTTCCGTGAAAGAAATCATTACTACCATACGAGAATTTTACTCCTGATATGGCAGCTTCATTAATAACTTCTCTTATGATGAAGTCAAATAGAATGTTGAATAGGATTGGTGAAGGAATACCTCCTTGCATTACACCTGTATTCATTTCGAAACTATCCGACAATTCACCATTTATTTTGACTTTTGCTATTGAGTGTTTATATAGTATTTTTAATAAGCTAACCAATTTATCAGTAATGCCATAACTACGACATACCTTCCATAAGAGTCTACGGTTGACCGAATCGTAGGCTTTCGTGATATCAATGAAGCACATAAATAAAGGCTTATTGAATGCTCTTCTTTTTTCCATTGTCATTTTTAAAGTGAATATCTGATCTGTAGTCGACCTATTTGATCTAAAACCAGATTGTATTTCTAATAGTTGGCAGTCTACTAAATCATGAATACGGTTAAGTATAATACGTGAAAATATTTTACTAGTTGTATTCAATAGTGCGATGCCTCTATAGTTGTCGCACATTTTCCTATCACCTTTATCCTTGTACAGTTTGATTAGGGTTGTCATGTTCCATTCCTTTACCATCTGCTCGTTCTCCCATACATCAGTAAAGAATTCGAACAGCCATCGTATTATTGGTTCACCACCAGCTTTTAGGATGTCAACTGTAACTCCATCACTACCTGGGGCTCTCCTAGACTTCGTTTGATTTAATGCTTTCCTCACTTCTTCAATAGATGGTGGTGCATTTTGCCGCCGCTCTTCAGTTATTGACAGAGTCGGTGTTTCAATTAGGTCAATGAGATTTTGATCAATTGATGAGTTTACGTTGAGAGTTTCATAGAAAAATTCACGCCAACGTTTCAAGATATCTCTTGAATTTACCAGTAGTTTACCACTTTTATCTTGCACTGGCATGTTTTCGCCTCTTTTACTTCCTCCTCTGAGACGTCTAATGATGGAAAAAGCCGTTATAGGATCATTATTTTTGATAGATTTTTCTATATTTTCGCATACTTCATCCCAGTATTCTTCTTGACGATGTTCCGTCATTATTTTCACTATTTTTCGCAGGCGTTTATAGTCTTTATGAGATTTAGACTCTAAATTAGAGCCACGATTGTTTTGCCATTCAACAAAAGCTATTGATTTTTGGTCTATAACTTTAAGAATGTCGCTTGTCAACCATTCTTTCCTTTTTCGGTTTGTGTTTTTGTCAACAGGAAAATGATATTTGGCCTTTTCTTTTATCTGTGACAAAAATAGTTCGTATCTCTGATCAATGCTGATTGTGTCATCTTTTGCATTATCGAATATGTCACGAAGATCTTTTTGAAACGCTTCTAGTAATTTGTCATCTTTTAGCTTAGCACTATCAACGTTTATTTTCTTCGAGTTGACATTTTTTTTTCTGCTTTTCAGATGTATTTTAATCTTGACACGCATTAGATGGTGGTCAGTTCCTATTGTACCTGCTGCCCCTCTGAGCATTCGAACATCTTCAACACTTGATCTAAACTTCTTATTTACAAGAGTATAGTCGATCATGTGCCATTTTTTATTTCTTGGATGCATCCACGATGTTTGATGCACTAGTTTATGTTTGAAAAATGTGTTAGAGATTATGATGTTGTTAATCTCACAGAAGTCGATAAGTCTCGTCCCATTTTCATTTTCTATATCAACTGTAAATGGTCCTATACCGCTTCTTATTACGTGTTGATGTCGTTTTTGTTGATCATTGCCAACTCTCGCATTTAGATCACCCATAATGATGATCATATCTTTTGTGGATACATCATTTAATGTATCTTGTAAGTCATTATAGAATTTATCATTTTCATCGCTCATTTGTTTCGTTATTGGATTAATAGGAGAATAGACTGCAATTACAGTAATGTGAATTGGTGCACAGTAGAGTCGAATTTTAATAATTCGTTCACTTATTGGTACCCATTCGCTCCCTGAATCCTTCCAAACTTTTGTGGCAATCGGATTGAGACAGATTGCCACACCATGAGCTTTTCGTGTTTTTCTGTCGTATGGCGCACCTGAATAGATCATCGTGTAGTCGCTTACTAATTTTACACCGGAATCACACATACACGTTTCACTTAGTGCGGCTATTTGTATTTGATATTTTTTTAATTGTTTGATTATTATTTCTCTCTTTGATTGCTTTATACAAGATCTAACGTTCCATCCGCCGAAGAAGACATGATTTTGTGCATTAACGCACCTATAATGTTTCCTTTCGTTAGCAGAGATTGTTTAATGTCCAGCTAGAGATTGCTAGCCTCATGACCAGACGAGTGGCTACTAGCAGCCCAGGGACGCCCCCTACAACCACTCGAAAGTGGTCGTAGGACCCTGTGAAAGTTAAGAACTTTCCTAGCAGGCGGGCATCCAGAAGTTAGATACCACTGATACCCATATCCAATTTATTACGATGATTCGTGGTAATCTTGTCACTTATTCTCATTATTAAATAAAAGAACATCATACAGTAATAATAAGAATCATGTATGCTTTATTTTAAGAATAAGAAACAAACACATATGTACACTCAAAAGTTACTCGTATATATCGTCACAGTCTATTATACTTCGTTTGGAGGCGAATTGTTCGCTTGTTTATTAACTAAATTCGTCACAACTGATTCAATATCACTTTGTTCAAATTCATTCTGTAGTTTTTCTAATTGATCATTAAATGTTTGTGATGAGTCAGTCGATAATAGACCCAAGAGACTATCGATTTTTGTTAAATCAGGACGTTGTCCATTGAATTTGAACTAAGCACAAAATAAATCAAAATAAAAAATACGTACATTCACTTAGTCTTCTAACTTACTTGAATTACATCTGGTACATTTGCTGTTAGAAATTCTGTGTACATTTGACCTTGATCATGTTGATTATCAAGGAAGGAAATAAATACTAATTTAGCTGGATAAACTTCTGAACGATATTTCATAAATAAATTAAAGAATCGTGTTGGTGTGCCGTCAGCCGTATGAACATCTGTATTTTCTATTTCGTCTGTTACCATGATAAATGTTTTAATGATTTCTTTATTATCATAATATGATACTAAACCAGCAGCATTGGCTGTTAAACCGTGAGCTTTTGTTGTCAATGCTAATGTAAGAACATCATCAATAGTTTTCGGTGTAAATGCTGGTAAAAACATTCCAGTATGGAAAAAATTCAATTTAGCTGAGCAAACTGTCGTTAATAAAGATGCTAAGATTGTCGCTGTACGAATAGCAACATCCATTGAATATGATGCATCACCCATGACAGCTACTGGTGATTCTAGTGGTAATATTATTTTTGCAAGTTGACTTTCAGCAACTGATAATAAGTAAGAGTAGCATTTATTTTTGCTCGATTGTACTAAATTTTCATCTTGAACATTACCAACGGCCGCTGTTTCACTTGGAGTATCTCTCAACTTTCGAAGAATTAACAGACGTTCCATAAGTTTACCGTATGGTAAACTTATTTCTTCACCATTTTCTAGTCTTTCATAGATAATGTCATCAACATCAGGACATTGCAAATCTTCATAATACCATAAAATTGTATCTAATTTCTCTTCGTACGCTGCGATTCTTGCTTTTGATCTATCATTTAAATGATCTTTAAATTGTTTTAAGTGTGAATAAGGAATTTTAAATTCTTTAATTAGATCATTCACATTTTCATTTGTTAAAGTTCGACAACGTGCTACCATTGTTTCTTCTGGTGCTGGTGTACCAAAGCAAAATGGTAAAAACCATGGTAAAGCAGGAAAATCCTTGCTTGGATTAAAATGAATGATATTGGCTAATTTCCTCCATGGTTCTGTTGGCATATGAAGTGCAAAATATTCAAGTTCCTGTCGAGTTAATGTTCGAGTCCAACGCTGAATATGTCGAACCATAGCACCACTGACTGATCCAGTTGATGCTTTGAGCCTACTAAGATTATCGATATGATTTTTCATTTTACCCAATGTTGTTGCTTTTGGTTTTGATTTATTTAATTCAAGACGTTTTATTTGTTTTTCATGAACACGAAGTTGTCGACCAGCATCTAACATCATTACTGCTTTCAGTACTTCAGTCAGAGTGAATAATCGTCGATAACGTAAAAGATTATTAGCTAAAATGTGATCATGTCGACACCAAGCAGCAGCCAATGCACATGCTTTAGCTTTCTGACCGATCTCAATACTGTTTTCATTGAGTGTAAATAACGCGGCTAGATAACGAGGCAAGTTTGTCGTTTGTGCTTGAATATGCTGATCTAGAGTAACATTTGCATTCACAAAAAATGGTTTTGGATCAGCATTGATATCAAGATCGGCTAAGAAATTGACTGATACTGTTTGTTGATCATTAACATCCATGGGATCTGACCGTTCATTTTGTAATCTTCGACCTCCAAAAGATTGACCACGTCCACGTGCATATCTACGACCACCTCTGCTACCAAAACCTCTTGTGTATCCACGACCACCTCTGCTACCAGGGCCTCTTGTATATGCACGACCACGACCACGTCCACGAACCACTACAATGAAAATTTTAATAAAAACTATATACAAAGATGCAACAATCTTCGACTTACTTTTATTATATTATAATCTACACTTAATATTAGTGGCTCAACTGATGAAATTTACAGAAGTTGAGTGTCGAATTAATTCTTCTTCTTTAATAAATGTTATGAAATAATTATCTGCTGTACGTTCGTGGTTTTTAAACGTAAAAAAACTAATTGCACAACGATGTTGTCATTACATGTAATACTGACAAATTATTGATGCAATGCATACAGAAAACATGCGTAATATGAAATAATGCGAAAGTATTTCATCAACGATAATAGAAAAGAGTCATAGACTTCCTCGGAACTGCCTTCTAAGTAGTTGGTTCATAGTTTTTTTTCATGTACAATATCACAGAGACATCTATAATACTCGTCATCCGGATGTGTCTGTGAATAAGTGATAGGAAGTGAACCAATATTTTTAACCAAAGTGCAATACTATCATCATGTGCAGACGTCGATAGTGACACATTTTGGTTAAAAAGTTTAGTTCACCTCCTATCATCTGTAGATATGGATGTTAGTGGTACGTGACTATGACATAGACTTACTCTCACGTTGAAACCCACAGCTACAGTTGCAGCCACACTCTTCTGAATTACATCACAAATCAAAAATAAGAAATACCCGAATCATACGAAGAATTGACATTAAAAAGTAATGAAAAGGGTTTTCTCTGATCATCAGAAGTGAGTCTAACTCGACGCGAACCAAACTTGATTCCACCGTCCATAGTTTACCCTCTTTCGCTATTATGTCAAATGAATTTTCAATAGATGTCCTTTATAATCGAATCGATTTCTGTTGCATTCAAAATTTATTTTATCGTATTTTCTTGATCTCATCATCTTGATACTTTTATCAAAACTAAATAACAATTATTTTGTAGCATGCTGATATTTGTACTTATTAAAATTTATTTTAGAAACCAAAATAACTGGATTTATTATTTTAAAAAGACACTATTAAACATTATCGAATCAGTCAAATCAGTCACTTTGAGTTTTCGGAAATGTGGCCCATATATATAGACTTGTTATACGTCTTAAAAGTATGCAAGTCTCCTTTTAATCATGAAGATCATGTTTTTGTTAATCTCAATTAGAACAGGAGCTACCAGTACACAAAAAAAGTGATTTATTTTTGATCAGATGAATTTCATTTACTATCTATCAATTGAAAAATATTATTTACTAGCGTCATGGAGTCGAAGAATTTCAAACTCAGATTAAGAAGATAACTAATAGCTGATTTGCAACTCTTTTGTTATACATTAATCTAATAATATTCATTAATAATTTCATATAAAATCAATTTGTTTTACCTAATAATCATTGAACTAATTAATTAAAAGTATTAATTTTTTTTAGGGACCATTTTAAACATATTGGAGAGAATCCTATAGTAAAAAAAAGATTCATTGAATTTTTGCAACTTTCAGTTGATCGTTGTTAGATCTTTGGCAAGTACAACTTTTCACTTTTTGATTTATACTAAATTCTTAACCAAAGGATTCCAGCTCTTAGGCAGAGAACTGCTATCAAAATGTGTTTTCCAAGGTTTCTCGTTTCATTTTTCAGTTTAAATACTAAATAAAAATTGAATAGTGAAAATACAAAGAAATAATCAACGCATTTAACATCATTAAATGATTCTTATCTTGATTATAATTCATTCCTTGAATTTGAATTTATTTTTCAAATAAATCCTTAGATTTCATGAACATTTCTCTATTAAAGTCAACCGTTCGATCTGTATAGGGTGCAGGTGTGGGTGTGATTTGAAGCCAAGTAGTTGATTTAGCATGAACATTAAGATATTCAACATATTTTAATCGGTGAAGTTGTTCTCTGAAGCGAGACTACATTAAACCGAAAGAAAGAGCATTAATCGACTATTGACATCATCAATACTTATTGTACATAGATGAAATATATTTAGGATAAAACGTCGTCGTGAAGTATTGTTTCATTCATTATCTAAAAGTGTTTCAAACCTTACATGTTTTATCAAAACTAAAATTATCAATACACCATGATAAATTAAGGCAATACCATCTGAATATTAAAGTTGAAATGCATAGTTTATTTTTGTTTGAAATGAATCGCTTGTTTTATACAATCGATATGGTAGTAAAAAAGCTTTCTCATATCAAAATTTATTCATTGATTTCATCCTAAAATCATTGGTTCTTATATTTTATTCACTATTTTTACCATTGAGTTTACTGTTGCATGGTTGTGTTAACTTAATTTTTTTAAACAAATTTTTGAGAAAAAAATTTTAATGCATCCTATTTGTATTCTCATAAAAAAGTTTGAATAATGTTTGTAAACTCAAACTTTTATTTCCATAGAAACTGTCTTACCTCTTACCTTCTATTGTCTTTTATGTTGATTCGTTTTTCTTTTCTTATCAATTGCTCTTGAAATAAAGAGTGATCCCAAAATATTGAAACGATTTTAAAATACATTGTTATCGCATTCAACATAAGAGCGATTTCTGAGATATCTTGCCAGATGTTTGAATTTCAATATTTTCAAATCGTTATACAAAGATGCGGATCTTCAGACGAAAGAGGAAACTTTGGAATGTCTTTTGATTTCAATAACAAACCTATCACTTTCAAGTATGATAGTAAAGAATGAAGTGCTTTCTGAGAACTCATATATGTTTTGAAAGAAAAAAATTATGTGTAAATTTTACAGCGAACAGATAAGCAATAAGCAAAATCTCAGTAAGACATTCATATCCTGTCCGTCGGTCTTCATTATTATAAGTGACACATTGATGTCATGGTAGAAAAATTACTTTACTTTATTGTTTTAATATAAAAGTAATTAGTTTCTGTCACTTTCTAGATTTCTCAGTGATGTGCTACTCGGATTCGGAAGCTGATAATAGACGACATATGCATTGTAAAAATCAAATGTCAGCAAGGTGTGAGTGTATTGATGGAAGATCTTTTCCTTTATATGACAAGCTGAAATTCATATGCACTCCACACATACACCTATTGCAGACTTTTCATGAAGAAAAGAAAGTCACAAACATTAGATATACTCCAGCTAGGTGTGACCCAAATTCTAGAAAGAGTTGATCTGAACTACTCGAAAAAATTAAATTTTCCAGTATATTGAATGATTCTGTTTGAATGCTAACTTCATTGAATTTGGAGTGTGGGTGTGGGTGTGGGTATGGGTGGGTGTGGGTGTGTTGGTGGGTATGGATGTGGGTATTCTCTTTCTCCACACCCACTCCTCACACCCTCCACACCTACCCACACCCGCACCCACACCCACACCCACACCCACACCCACATCCACACCCACACCCACACCCGCACCCACATCCACACCCACACCCACACCCAGGATTAGGACCCTAACTACAGTTAATGGGATCTTCGCATCGAGGATCCAGAAGATTCCATGGCGATCCAGAGAATCCATAGGATTCCGGGATCGGGCAATCTGCGTTTTTCCCGTGTCAACACTCCTTTTAGATCGTTTTTCACAAAAATTTCAAGTCTGTTTTTCAATAATTACTAAGGCCATTTCATATTACATTCAATGTACTTCTGTTGTACTCCGTGTACTTCCATCGTACTTCCTGTATTTCTCGTACTCTCTGTACTTCCGGTACTTCGGAGTACGGAAGTACGCCGTTCTCCCCCCCCCCCCCCCCCCCCCCTGATATTTAATCACTCATATCAGACACGAACGATTCTTGTGGTTCAACAAATAGTTTTAGACCAAAATCAAGAATGTCTACATTTAAACAATTGAGAAGGGTAACGACAGAACAAATATACGTTTGAAATTTCAAAAATGCTGCGCGAGAACGATAATCGCAAGCGATGGCGAATCCATCTCATCACAGTAAATTGTTGGAGCTTTTACGAGTTCGACAGTTTCTTGCTGTACATAGTTGACTTGGAAATTCTCGGAACTACTGGAAAAGTTATCATGAATAGCATGCCAGCATTGTGATTATAGGTTTTAATCTGAAAAGTAGACCTTTCGAAATTTTAGCTTCTCACTTCAAAGTTTCTCGAGTTATTTTGTCGTTATCATTCACAACTGACTAGCAGCTAATAATGACCATATGAAAAGTTAATGAATTTCGTGATGGTTTCTTTATTTACAAAAAATACAAAGTCATGAGAAATACATTCTCTACTTAATTTTCTTATTGATCAAATGTGTTGTATTTCCGACAGTACTCTTTCTTCCCGCATGAAATGTTTGCTTGATTTTAGCCCAAAAGGTAACTGGGAGATGCCAATGACGCAGATAAATTGTAGTAACATGGAGATCTGGATCTTCTTGAATTTTTGTAACAATGAATAAATTGCCTGGTAGAACGAGCACTTCATGCTCATGAATATATTGAGAAACATCTTCGATACCAAAAATAGTTGATGTTGCTTTCTGTATCTCAAAAACGAATAGAACGTTCTTCTGATCAGCAGTTGGTGGATTTCTAGTTGCAAATCTGAGAGCAACAAGTGGATCTGTTGATGTCGACGTAAATGCTTTGAGACCGAGAACACCTGGCGGATCACTAGACAAAGCATGTTCATACACAGTTAAATCGGCTACAGGCAACGTAGCACCACGATAGACGGTGCCTGTAAATGCGCGTTGTTTGAGTTCATGACGGCGAATATAAAACTCGAGGATGAATCGGTCACATAAGTGAGGACTTTTTGCAGCATCGTTTGTCGAACGAGTCAATTGCTGGTTGAATGGACGATAGAAACCGGCTAGTTCATTAGTATATAATGTAATTAATGGTTCAATGGAGTTGCGTCGTTGGGCTTCATTGACTGATCTGATCGTGAGTTGATAGTGAACTGGATCCGACAAATTGGATTTGAGAAACTGTTGAAAATCGCCGTGTTTCAACAGATCAAACTGATCAATATGAAAATCGTCACGTTCGATAAATGCACGAAATGTATGCGAGAACCAATTGTAAAATTTCAGCCACATTGCTGTTGTTTGTTGATTGAGTGTATGTTGGAAAATTTCTTCTTCTGTTTTAAAAACTTGTACAAAATGTTGTGTTTCATTTGCTGCTGGATCTCTATCGTTTTCTTCTGGCAAATAGACAGCGATTGCATGAGCTACATCCAACTCATGAAAACGACCAGTAGGATCTGCTCGTTCAAATAATTGTTTCATTTCAGGACTTCGTGCCTCTTCGTAAGCAGTACGACCGAAACGATTTAGTTCTGTTCGAGGGCAATTTCGATCAAGTAAAAGTTTCACAATATCTCGATGTTCGTAAAATGTGGCTGCGTGTAATGCTGTACTACCGTTTGGTTGCATTTCGTTCAATTGTTCGATTGACGGTGCGTCTTCAGCATCAAGTGCTTGACGCACTTTGTCTATTTCACCATTACGACAGAAAAAATAAAAATCTGATGCTTGACCTGGAATGTGTGTGAACGACGTTGCTCGTTTACGTTTTTCACGCCACATAAGTTCGAATGGACTGGGAGAGAGTTTGTCACTAGTGGGAACGCTCGATAGATTACCCATTTATTTACAAAATATATCTGAAAACAGAGCAAATAACTAGCTATGCACTTGTCGTATATTTAATTTATATGTTCTTTTCGATGTTTTCTTTTGCTGATGATGTTAAGACATCATGTATTTATGCATCGAGACACGAGATAATTTTTTGTACGATGATAAAATGCTGTACTGAATTTATCAATAGATGATAATCACTAAACTAAATCAATTTTAGTAACTAGAACAACTTTGATTTGACAAAAAATTTTAAATTTTGAGATTGTTTTTCTTAAGCATTATTTTGGCACTCCAAAGTGGTCTTTATTCACGATTTCGAAGAAAAATATACGATGTGTATGATCGAAAATGGTGAGTAAATCTCATCGTCTTCTATGCGTTCAATACTTTCAAATAGACACTCTCAGTTCTGATCTCTAATCGCAATTACGAACTACATTGATATAAACTCGAGAAAGATATAAAGAGGCAGCTGTATCCAGAATATTTTAACATCGGCTATTTCTTTGTTGTTCAAAATGAACATCCTCATGAGAAAAGTGATAATGCATCTGATATAGTTAGCACATTTTTGCTGACATTCTTTAAACTCCTAGGAAAATTTTCTCTGTCGTTTGAGGAGAGACATTGTTTTTTATGTTATTTTAATTCCACCATCTACTACTGTATGCAACTTATTAATACTTTGAAAAACAAAACGTAAATTGAGTTTTGAATTTTAACACTATTTGGTAACGAATATTTAGTTAACTTTTAGAACGAATTTTCCAGCTTTTTCTCTGCCGTAAGAGAAAAACTTATTTTTTTGTAAAACGAACTATGACACATAAATTGGGTCCTTTGATGAGTTAAATAAGCATTTTGAATAGATATAACGACAGAATAAAAGAAACAGTTTAGCATCGAACTACCATATCTGATGATAAAAAACACGAAAAGCCAATTTTTTGGTATGAATATAACATCATTTATTGATTAGTTGAACATTATGGTAGCGATAGAAATGAAAGTTACATACTTACAACGCAAAATTTAGTCAATTTCATGCATTACTAATAGTTTTATGTTACAGTTAGAATGAGTATTCACGAAAGTAACGATACTTTTTGCTGTTTCTTCGGGCTTGTCAATAGCCATAAAATGACCGCAGTCTTCGAAAACATTCTTTTCCGCCTTCGGTAATAATTTCATAAAGTATTCAGCTCCTTCAGCGGTATACACCTAGATAACCGAAAATTATATCTCAGAAATTATGTGAATAGTGTAACTTGATATACTCGATCTTGACGACCCCAAAGAATCAAGGTTGGCTTGTCCATTTGTCGTAGTTTCTGATAATATTCTTCAAGATGTGGATAGTCATATTCAAGAAGTGAAGATAACACTATTCAAATATCGATAGCAGGTATTGTAAGCTCCATATAATAGTATTACTTACCTTTTTTATGTTCCTCGAGTAGACGTAATCTCAGATGAAGGAAACCGTTCAGAAATGGTCGAGGTAAATTGATCTTTTTCACTGTTAGTGTATTGATCATAGCATAGAGTTGTTCAGGTGTTTCCGGTAAGAGCGCACTGTATACACCTGAACGTAATTGTTGTATCAAATCAGTTTCACATTGTTCACTGGCTACATAGACTCACAGATATGAACTATGCAGTATACTACAAAATTGATGAAACTTACCAGGAGGGGCTAACAAACAGATCATACTCACATAACTTGGATATTTAACAGCAAACATTGAAACAATGGCACCGCCTATTGATGCACCAATGATGCACATAGGATCAGTGAGATGTTTTCTGTCGAAAAACTACAAAATTCATGCAATAAGATCAATATAGAATAGAATATTTTTCAAAATTCAATACCAGTTTGAGTGCATCCACAAACTTGTCAATAGAATAATGTTTTTCATTCAATCCAACTGTTTCACCATGTGCAGGCAGATCAACGGTGATACAGTGATAATTATTAGGAATGTTCTATATGAACGAAAAATCAACTGAACTTGTAATACCTAGCTAAGTGATATTGTTTGGCATCAAAAGTGTACTTCATGAGAAGGAGATATACATATATATACTGAAACAATTCCGGAGTTCTAACATTGTTTCTTTGAAGATCAATACACGCCATCAGTCATCAGTGAGCAAATAGCAGACACTTATCAACATACTTTTAATCTCGTTTCGACAAAAAAAGAGATAGTTTTTGCAGGTTCTGTGGCGGTAACAATTAACAAAGAGAATTTACAAGATAATAAGGTATTGATCGATCGATAATTATTATGTTCCTAGAAATGTTGGCGCTTAATCGATTCTTAGGTGTTTGTATAATAGGACATGAACCCAGTAGCGTCGGATACAAATATTAATTCATAATTGTGGGGGTGTGGATGTGAATGTTGGTGTGGGTATGGATGTGGATTTGTGGGTGTGGGCTTGCGGGTGTAGATTTGCTGGTGTGGATGTGAGTGTGGGTGTCGGTGTCGGTGTCGGTGTGGGTGTGTAGATACGGTGTGTATGGGTGTGGACGTGCGTCTGCGTACGGGTTCTGTTGCAGAGCAGATCCCTACCCACACTCACACCCACACACTCACACCCACACACTCACACCCACACACCCACATCCACACATCCACACCCCACACTTGTGGGAATGATTTAGTAAGTACTCCGGCTGAATCAGCCAACGAAAAAAAGACTTTTGAGAAAAGTTTAGTAACTACTCCGGTGGAAAGTTTCTTTGAATTTTTGATGTAGTTTGTTCTGCTGTGGGTATGTTTCATTTTGTTTGTTGAGTGTATCAAGCAATGGATGCTGTGAAATGATAAAAATAGTTCTGATTACTTTGTGTTTTAGGCAAGGGGAAAGCATATTTGAAGATTTTAAGGCGTCAAAGGTTGCGAAAGGATTCTGAAAGATGGAAAAAGATTCTGGAAGTTTGAAAAGCATTTCTGAGTTTTTGATGATTTTAGATTGTAATACTTGTGTTTTTCTCCCGTGATCAGAATGAATACGTTTTCGGTTGCTTTCATTGGGACTGTCCAGTTCAAACTCGGGAGCCCTCATATGTGTATCGATTAGCTTGAACTCTGTATTCATATAATCGCTCAATCACACTGAAGAAACTGTTTGCCAGTTTTTATAAGGATGAATTCTACTCATGTTCTGACCAGATGGAAAAGGATCCTAGATAGCCTTCATATTGACCCGGCCAACCCTATGCTTTGTCCCTACAATAGAGAAAAAAGGCGTACTAAAATCTGATTGTTTGATAATGGGCGAATCAGATTCAAGGAAGCTATTCCTCAGCTATTTAAAAGACAAAACACAAGATTGTTCTGGACAATTTTAGCGTTATGTGAGGTCTTGCTTAATGTGTTCGGAACAACCCTATGTCTTGTCCTTACAATAGCTGAGGAACCGTTCTCATGAATCTGATTGGTCGATAGTGGAGTGCACAGTTCAAGTTAATGGGCGATCACGCGATTGTGCTATACGGCTCTAATGAACACACGCGAAGACGGATCGAGTCATATAAGTGGCTGGCATATTGGAAGTACAGAAGAAGCGGTCACATTTAGATGAGTGGCTTATGAGCGTGAGCATGAGCTGTATATCGCTAATTGTAACACGCTTTTATTTTAAGATTTCAAAAGATTGTAAAGGATTCCAAAAGAGTCTAAAAGATTCCGAAAGATTTTAGAGATTTTGGACGCAAAAATCTGCTTTTTCTCTCTTGCTTTTAGCTCAAACAAGAATTTTTGGAAGATTTGCCATGTTTTTGTTTAAACAATGATCAATAGGTGCCTTTTTAAAATTTGTACATTTTATCTCAATAAATTGGATATGCATTGTATATCCTGGAATGTAGTCGTCAAAAAAAGTGAGCTTCACATGTAAACTCCAAATTTGGAGCTCACTTAAGCATCCATATTTTATCCATTGACGTCAGTCCATACTTTACAGTTGATAGCAAATAGTGGGCATCCATCAATCCCAGCCATACACCATGAGTATTATTTAACTGTAAATTCGTTAATTAATTAGTATTCATCTTAATTAAGAATCATTTTATTAGCACTAATTAGGATGAGTACTCATAACTCCTGAAGAGATACGCCACGGGGCCTCATTGATTCTCAATGTCTATCCTATGGGGATACCCTTAAGTCCTCCAGGCCTACACTATAGGGGTAACCTTAAGTACTCAAGGTCTATCCTATGGATGCACCCATAAGCCCTCAAAGAGTATAATATGTGGGTACCTATAGGTCCTCAAGGCCTATTTGATATAGGTACCCCATAAATCCTCAAGGTCTATCTTATAGGGGCATCCATAGGCTCTCAAGGTCCATTCGATAGGGATCCTCGTAGGTTCTCAAGACTTCTCCTATGCGGGCTTCCATGGATCCTTAAGGCCTATCTTATATGGGTGGCCATAGATCCTAAAGAGGTATCCTCTAGAGGTACTTGTAAGTCCTCAACGGTTTCAATATAGTCGTACCTATAGGGTCTCATGAAGTATCTTATGGAAATACACATAATTCCTATAGGACTCTGATATGGGAGTATCCATGGTTCCTTATAGCCTATGAATTGAGGATACTCACAGGTCTTGAAACGGCTTTAGTGCGGTGATACCCATAGGTCCTCAAGGGCTATCCTATGGATTACGCATAGGGGCGATTCTTTCGAGAGTGTACCAGAGTTTACGTCCGCTTCGTGCGAATCGGATGAATCTTTCCGAATTAAAAGAGCTTGATATTCTGATCTCAAAAATTATCTTCAAAACGTTTTAAAAGATGATCTAGTAGTTTCGGATCAGCAGTGTTCGTAGCATTCTCAGCCAAAATCTGATTTCTAGAATTTGTCTATTTTATACGATAACAAGTTGAAACCTTCAGAATAGATAGTTGTCAATGAGACAAACATTTCAATAACCAGAAACTTTTCTCCGATGTTTCCTTGCTGTTGAAAAGTTTCCTATAGGAATAGATTTTTCCGCAATTGTGGAAGCATATTTTCTTCAACTGAACCTAGATTGAGTTACCAATTTTGTACGTATTACAATCGTGTTTGGACGGGCTGTGCAGTTATGAGATTTAGAGAGATTTCAAATGAAAGCTAACCACTAAGCAGACCGATTTCGGGAGAGGATTCTGACTTTTTCCAAAAGTCATTGACTGTATCCTGAGCTAACTAAGGATTCGTGCGAAGAGAACAACATGTTTTCGTAGTCTACTCAAACCGAACTAACAAAAAAATAGAATTTAAATACTGACCGTGCACTTTTAGGATTAATGGGTTTTCGATGTGATTTTTCTAGCACGTTTTCAGAACTTTCAAATTCATTCGCCATTGAAGTAAATAGGTTGTTGTCCAAGCGAATGTCAAGTAAATCTCAAATATAAATCTTTCTTCTAACCGGAATCCTCAACTTTCACAGCAAACAGTGCATGACTTGAGGAAAAAGTCAAAATCCTTCCCAAAATTTCCTGATTAGTGGTCGACATCCATTTGAAACCTTTCAAAATCGCATAACTGTATACGTCGTGCAAAGATGATTCCAACACATACAAAAATTGGTAACTAAATGTTCTTCTTTATTGCGGAAGATATCCTTCCAAAACCAAGAAAAAGTTTATTGTTATGCGGAACTTTTCATTAGAAAGCGAACTTCAGAGAAAAAAGTTACTGCTTAATAGGTTAGCTGTCTCATGAACAAGTATTCACTGTGAATTTTTCAACTTCTGATCATTTAAAATAGACAATTCTTAGAAATCAAGGATTAATCGGCAATGCTTCCTAAACTGCTCGTCTCAAGCTACTACAGCATCATTTTAAAACAATTTCAAGCTGATTTTCGAGATCAGAATATCAAATTCTACTAGCTCAGAAAGTTTTATCCCACTCCTATGGAGTCGATGTAAATGTGGTATGCTTTCAAAATAGTTGTCCATATCATCTCAAGAGCTCTAATGGGCACTGTCATATTATACTGCTTGCGAGCCTACGGATACCCCTATAGAAAAATCCGCGAAAACCTATGGGCATCTCATATAATATCCCGTGAAAACCTATGGGTACCCCTGTACGATAGTCCTTGAGGATCTATGGGTACTCCTTTAGGAAAGTGGTTGAAGACCTTTGAGCACCCCTATAGAATAGTCCGTGAGGATCTATGGATACCCATATACGATGGCCTTTGAGAATTCCTAGATGCTCCCATATTATAGCCCTTGAAGACCTATGCGTACTCTTATAGAATAGCCCTTGAGGACCAAAGAGTATCTTGCTGGTACAGGTCTTCAGGACCTAAGAGTACCCCTATAGGATAGTGCTTGAGGACTTAAGGGTACACCCATGGCGTTGCACTTGAGTGCCCATGCGTCTTCATGGTTTAACCCGTCGAGAGTCATGAGTACTTATCTTAATTAGTGCTAATTGGTTGAGTATTAATCAAGATGAGTATTGATTAAGATGAGGACTAATTAAGATGCATGCTAATTAATTAACTAATTTACAGTTACATAATGCTCATAGTCTATGGCTATTATCGATGGAAGCCTACCGTTTACTATTAACTATAAAGCAAGGATAGAGTTCATTGAGTAAAATGTGGATGCGTAAGTGAGCTCGAAATTTGGAGTTTAGGCAGTTTGGAACCCACTTTTTTTGACCGAAAGTAGGGAATTTTTATGGAATTGGCGGGAAAACGGGCCAGTGCACCGTTTCCTGCGGGTAATGGTAGGAAACGATCGGATCTTAGGGATCGTATTGCGCAGGACTTTGACGGATTCTCCTTGCCGTTTCCGAGCATTTCCGGCGGGAAAGCGATGGAAATGTCGGGAGTTTGCTGAAAATAGCCAGCGGTATCCTGTTTAGGAATATTTTGGCCGTGTTCCATTGATTTCCGAGATTTTCTATGTTGTTAGTAGATAATATTGGAGTAGATCCGGTCGTTTTCACTGTGGTTCCGGCTAGATATGAGCCCAGGTAAATGATTCTGAAAAACAGATCCTGCAGGAACCGGCGGGAAAATGCGGGAAAATTCACCGTATACTGCAGAAAAATACCCTAGGACGATGATTCCAGCGCCTGGATCCGTGAATTCCCAGCGAGAACCTAAAGGAAAGGCATCGGTTCAGGCAGAAAAACTCCGGAAATCGATGGAAATGGAAGCAGTACTCCGCACCGGAAAATTATGGAATTTTTTCGGCGACTTCCGATCATTTCCAATCGGAAAGAACAGGAATTTTGTCGGAAAGTGCAGGAAAAATCCGGAGATTTTCCGATCCAGAATACTGCTTTCATGAAATCCCCGAAAAGTAGCAGAAACGACCGGTTCCCTGCCGTATTCTTCGACCTGGGAAGCAGGATACGATAACTTTCCGTAAGAATTCCACGTGGATATGGTAATTTTCCAAGATTATTCCGGACACTGGATTTGCACGGAAGTGAAAGGATCCGGTACGGTGCTTTCCGGCCCGGAATACTGCTTCCATTTTCCGTATGTTTTCCTGGCGGATCCAGAGGCCGGAATCATCTTCCTGGGATCCTTTCTTTCAGAAAAGGGAACAGTAGTTTTGTTTGTGCGTTCGATTTGACGAGAAAACTACTTGATCTAATATGGACTCTATTTCAATGTGAACCATCTGATAGAATCAAATTCGCTATATCATTGGTAGTTACCTAAGTGATCTCCAGTTCTCTTGAGAAAAAAATCCTGGTAAAGGATATTATCTTTCGGATTCGTACTAGACTGGGCCAGATCAGGCTAAACTAAAGATGAGTCAGATCGGATCGGGTTACGATAAAATGGTTCATTTTGAATCCTGTTGTGAACTGACCTTGACAATGGGAAGCCATGTTTCCTTGTTTGACGATAGTCCATGAACGAAAACTATCGTCAGTTGTCCATCAATCTTAGAACCTTTCTCACTGTAACTGAACACAGCAGTTCCATCTTGATTGACTGGTAAAGAATGCTTGACAAGACCAGCTTGATAAGTGGTGAATCTATATCCATGTAATCATCATTTACATTGATAGTTAACATTACTCTTTTACCTGTAGTAGAGTTGTATGAGCCACGCCTGCCTAGTAGCATCAAGGTTATGTTTGAAACAAAATTAAATTAATATACTCACATTTTTGTTCGTGCGTACGATTGTACGATTTTTTGCTGTCCTTATTTGTATTTAACGAAAATTGAAAAGTCGGAGAAAACCAAATTCATATTGTGTAGAAAATATACTATATTTATACTTCACAAAAAACTTTTTCTCGTTTTCTTCCTCTTTCATCAATTATTGGAATATTTATTTTATGCGCAATTACTTGTTTCAAAGTTGGAAGAATCCAACAGAATTGGAAAATAAAATGTTGCTTTCTACACATTACTTATTGCTTTACGACCGCGTTTATATACTTCTTTTAACCACATGCAGTCATAAATTACTCTCAAAGACATTTGAATTGTATAGTCAAAACTACAGGTATATTTTTGAATATTATATTACAGTGCTTTTGATAGAATTTCTTGAAGATAATATGAGATCAACATCGAAAAAAAGTGTTAATTGTTGTTCAAAATGAAAATAGGAGGATCGCTTTATGAATTACTTTAGCTGAACTAATACGTGACAGAACATTTCATTACTAAAAGAATAATGTTTTAGATGAAGAAATTTTCAGCTGCAAATAAATAGGATAATGTAGTTCTTATTTGCTATTTCGACTTGCCCAACCGTGACGAAATCACGTTTTTCCACTTTCTCTCTTCAGTATATCAACCCAGTCGAATGAGATAGGGACTGATACTGCCAGAAGATATACAAGTCGGATTGCCCTACATATCATAAAAGTTTCATTTAATCTCGTCCTTTTCTCACAGTTTTATAAATGAAATATAGGGCTATGACGGATTTACCAACAATGGTTACTGAGGTTTGAGTATTTTGTTAAAAACAAAAAACTTTAGCTCAACTTCAAAGATTATGAGAAACTTTTCTATAGGAAAGTTATAGTTTAAGTGACAAGCTACATATAGAAAAGCTTGTTAGCGCAGCCCCTTTGGGGCTGAAATGTGGAACTCACATATGTTCTCTAACCTCCTTAAACTAATACAAAATACGTAAAGTGAAAAAATTAACATTCAAGTTCGTAACGCAAGTATAAACGAATCATACTCTTGCTCTAATCTTCTGCAATATCAATGAAACTACCTATCTTTGAGAAAACAATTCTTCAATTTAATGTCTCATTTTAAAGTTACACGATGATAAATTCATCACATGCAAAAATTTTTCTCATTATAATTACTGAGTATATGACTATCTTAACTTTACACTCACTCATTTCTCTGATTCTTTTTTTTTTTGATCTTAGAATTACATCTAATGTTCTTCGCTATGCAAACCATTGTTTTAGCCCTGTGTAACTAAAAATTATGCATATCTGCGGTTCGTACGAAACCATTTTCATTATATAACTCTGATTGTTTGGGTTTGTAATAGGGGAGTGTCTATAATGCGGGATGTCGGTAATGGAGACCTGTCTGTAATGGGGACTTCCGTTGCTAAGTGCCTGTAATGGGGAGGAGGGGGGAGCTCCAAAACTTCGACTTAAAACTTACACTCACTATTATTTCTTCGAAAACATATGTGAGTTCCACAAAAAAAAATTCCAAATATATAACAACACGGCCTCACAGATCGAAAAAAAGTCTTGAGACAGAATCACACATTTAAAATTGTTGATGTTTCCATCGACATGTATTTCCTCAGAAGGTTAACTGCGAGTCGCCCGAATGAGCAAGCCGATAACATTTGTGAAAAAAAACATCTGACAGCATCCTTCTGACGATGTAAAACTTAAATTATGAAAGTTTGAGTTGAGCACTTTTATGACTTCGTTAAAATAGGTGGTCCGTTACGTGGACAGATCGATCTCCTTTCACAAATCTCAATTGTACTTCTTTGAGAAATATTCCTTGAGTATTCACTGAAATGTTTCCTTGTTTATATTTATGTGCATAATGCTCATGTGTTCACATTATTTTATAATTTAGACCGTGAAAAGAACATATATTCGTTGTATGTTTCTTGATAGAAAGAGTAAATGAACGAAGACATCCTCAATAACGAAGTTTATGGCAACGGTAATGGAGAAACTTTTATTTTTTATTCCTCAAACGATAAACTTCGTCTGAACGGACGAAATTGGCCACTGACAAATGGTGAATGTCGCGCTGTTGTACTGATTGTGCATGGATCAGGCGAACATTGTCAACGTTACAAGCACGTAGCTTACTTTTGTAATGTTCGGCAAATTGCCTTTGTTGGTTTTGACTTGCGAGGTCATGGTCTGTCGGATGGTGAACGTGGCTATACGCCTAGTCTCGATGCTCTTTTTGATGACATCGAATGTATCATTGATCGCATTCATACAGAGCTTTATCCTGGTGTGCCTTTGGTAATCTATGCACATGGAACTGGATCGCTTCTTTGTCTTTCCCATATCGTCCTACGACCTTTCAAACCACTTACCTGTCAAGCCATGATCATTAGTACACCTTCGCTTTGTCTCAAAAGACGTCCTACAGCATTATTACTCTTTTTCTCACGTGCTTTTGCCAATTTGGATCCTCATTTTCGTTTACCTGTTCACGGCAACACTACGAATGTATATTGTAATGATAATGACGTTGTTCAAGCCTATCGAAATGATCCACTCGTTCATGATCGATGGCCAGCAACGACTGTTTCTATATTCATGGAATTAGGCGTCATTTTGGAACAGAATACAGTTTATGCACCATGGCCATTATTGATTCAACATGGCAATGCAGATACTATAACACCGATTGAGGGTATTCAAAAATGGGTGCAGAAGAGAGTGCGAGGTGATGTTATATTAAAAGTATGGCCAGGCCATTTTCATGAACTGCACAATGATCTAGGAAAGGAAGAAATATTGTCTTATGCAATAGCGTGGATCGAAGAGAAGTTGAACATTTGAATAAAACAAAGTATAGAAACACTTTAATTCGTGCTCATATAATTGTATTTATAGTGCGATATATTGTTTTAAAAGCAATAAAACTTGCTGTCGATAATAATCATGAGAATGTGGGTGTGGGTGTGAGCAAGCCTGCTTTTTGTCGACCTGTCTGGTACTCTGACTGGCATGCTTGAATGAAATATGGCGATAATAGTCTCTTGTTGAACGGCTGATCCGCAAAGAGTAAACCCTAGAGTGGATGAGGCGAGGTTAAGCGATGGTGAGTGTGGTTGGATGTTTCTTCTTCACTCTCACTCACCCAGAGTATGGGTGTGGATGTGCGTGTGGACGTGGATTGGATGTGGGTGTGAGTGTGGGTGTCGGGTCTGGGTGTAGGTGTGGGTGTGGGTGTGGGCAAGGGGGAAACAGCGGACTTCAAGACTTCAAGACTTCAAAAGACTTCAAAAGACTTCAACAGACTTCAACCGCAGTGACTTCATATTTTCACAAGACTTCAAAAGAGTTCTAAAGAGTTCTGAAGACCTCATAGGACTCCAAATGACTTCACAAGACTTTAGAAGACTTCGTATGACTTCATAAGACTTCATGAGACTTCATGGGACTTCAAAAGACTTCGTTAGACTTCACAGACTTCGTGAGACTTCACGGACTTCATGAGACTTCATGAGACTTCAAGAGACTTCAAGAGACTTCAAGAGACTTCAAGAGACTTCATGAGACTTCATGAGACTTCATGAGACTTCATTAGAATTCAAGAGACTTCAAGAGACTTCATGAGGCTTTATGAGAATTCAAGAGACTTCAAGAGACTTCATGAGGCTTTATGAGACTTCATTAGACTTCATGAGACTTCATTAGACTTCATGAGACTTCACAAGACTTCACAAGACTTCACAGGACTTCAAGAGGCAGATTCCATGCGT